CAGGTGGCCCGAGCCCGTGGACTTTCGCTATTGTGTACATTAATATCGTTGAAAATCGAACGCAAACACCGTGGGATTCATCGACCACCACCGTTTAATAGCCCCGCATAGTGTGTATACTTAAAGTCACACGCCCCGTACCTACTCTGTGATTTTCCGATGGACTTATCCGTAGGTACATGTATTTTTTTCAAACGACAACAATGTCTTTAATTCCATACACGTGTAGACAAAACTTGTGCCAAAAATGTTAAGGTTTGAATTATTTTCAATTATGTATACAAAGGATGGAGATACAAATTATCGGTAATGATAACAAAAGATAGGTACTATAGGAGTCTATACTATGGACAATTGTGAAAAACTGAGATCATATCATATAAAATCAACATGAAAAGAAAAACATTTAATTTCTTATTAAACCCTATAAGATATTGAGTGGCCCATGATAGAAAAATCACCCTGTAAATAAAAATCACTGCAAACCCATATATATATTATGTAGAGTGATTCATCTGACGTAAGACGCTCATTTTCTTGGAAAATATGAGTATGCTGGAAATTATTTTTTTCCACTACATATTTTTCGATATTTTGAACATTTTCATCCCTAATACGTTAAAAAATTATGGACCACGTTTTTTTCAAATAGAAATAAATGTCTTTAATTCCATAAATGTGTAGACAAAAATTGTCCCAAAAATGTTAAAGTTTGAATTATTTTTAATTATGTACAAGTGATGAAAATAAAAATGATTAGCTAATGACAACAAAGAATAGGTATTATGATGTATAAAAGCTATATGTAAGGCATTGTTTAACATGTATAAGTTCATTGTTACTCATAGACCATTTAGTAGTTTTAATTATACAAATATTTGGGTGTTAAATATAACACCCAATACTCTGGCTGGAGTTTCAGGCTGAATTCAATGTTGTGGAATATGTTAACATTTTGATTTCCCGCCACATGCTTTATATGATTTTAATATCCAGTAGTCCCACTTTGATGTACTCATCAAACATTATACAAACTGTGAATAAACAAAACTCGTTTGGATCAAAACCGAGACTATGAACGTAATGTATATTATTATGCTACAATAATATGTACTATTATGAAGGTATGCGTTTGGTCGATGGACTGTGTATAATATTCAACTCTTGTCCAACGGCAATAACAATTAAAATAGGTACAATTAAACGAACGTGTCTCATTAACTTTGCACAGCAGCAACAACAACGATAATAATAATAATAATAGTGTGATGCAATCAACGTTATTTATGTTGCAACGTTTCGACGCTGTTTATTCGGCTGTGCGAGAATTAAATTTAATTAATAGTTTCGCAGAATTGCCACAGCTTTTGCTTGCCTTGACGGTTTTCTCGTTTTATCCCGGCTGGAGATTGAAAAAGATAGGGGGAGAAAGGAGAAAGTAAAATACTGTAAATGTTTGCTTTGTATATACCCTTTGTTGAACGACGGTGTACACACAACACAAAACCGGGCACGCATAAACGCCGTGAAAACCCGTTTTATCTTTCTTTTATCCTTCCATTTTGTTTAATTTCCATCCCCTTTTTCCTTTTTTTTTAATTTTTTTTTTTGCTACTTGACAAACAAACTCTGGAGCAATAATAATTGCTGTGGTGAAAACAAAAGATACAAAAAAAGGTTGCCTCCGGTTTCCGGGATATAATCATTATCCGTCTAAATTTGCACGCCATAATATGTTTAATACTTACATATAAACATTTTATATAAGCACAATAATATATTACTTATACCATTCGCTCGGATATCAATCAGTAGACATCACACCCGAGTGGGCTGTTATACCGCGTAGATTGTACCCAGGACGAGTGCTATTATAATAATATGGCAAACGACAATAATATATCAAACTATTGTACATCTGCAGTTGGGATATTTTAATTTTGACCGTTTTCTCTATAAACACCGTATGGGGAATCGTCGTCCCGACAATATTACTAGGGAAACCCCGATAATAGATTATAATAGCAATTAAACAGGTAGCCTACTTATTCCCCTTGAGTGAGATCCGGATCGGAGGACGATCTTTGAGTCTCCAAAAGGAATCGCCGAGGAGTTATCCCCAAGGGATATATCACTAGGATCACGTCCATCATACATACATAACGTTCACAGCTTCGGTTTTGATCCAAACGCGTTTTTTTTATTCGCAGCTTGTATATAATGTATGAGTACATCAAAGTGGAACTTGGAAATTAAAAGGAGGAGTTGGAAATTTTGACAAATTCCACCACAATGAATTCAGCCTGAAACTGCAGCCAGAGTATTGGGTATAACATTTGTATAAGCAACTAAATGGTCTATGAGTAACAATGAACTTATACATGTTAAACAATGCCTTACATATAGCTTTTATACATCATAATACCTATCCTATGTTATCGTTAGCTGATAATTTTTGTCTTCATCCTTGGTACATAATTCAAAATAATTCAAACTTTAAAAATTTGGCACAAGTTTTGTCTACACTTTTATGGAATCCAAGACATTTATTTCCATTTGCAAAAAAAAAACGAGGTCCATAATTATTTAACGTATTAGGGATGAAAATGAAAAATGTTCAAAATATCGAAAAATATGTAGTGGAAAAAAATAATTTCCAGCTTATTAATATTTTCCGAGAAAATGAGCGTCTTGCGTTAGATGAATCACTCTGTATAATAAATATGGGTTTGCATAACCCTATGAGATATTGAGTGGCCCATGATAAAAGAATCACCCTGTATATATATATATATTTTTTTTGACTCGGTATTATATTTCAGGTTTCCAAGAGCCCGTGTCAAGAGGTTTTGGTGAAATATAAAAATACAAAAAACCGAGACGGTGAAGCCACTCGCCGTGACGAACACTGACTCTGCGTTTGACCCGATTGGCAGAGGGGTGACTTAACCCACATAATATAATATATATATACAGATATATATGCCTCGTACAACTGCACAGTCGATAGCAGTGAACACCCTGAGGGGCTGTAAATATTTTATAAGTCACGTATATCGTGAAAATCCAGAAAATCCCTGTAAAAACCATAATATAATATGTATATTTTTTTTACACTGCAAGGATTTTCTTTCCCCGTCCGTTCAAGTACAGTAACCACTATAGTCTCAAGCAGCAAAGAAAGTGTTACTGCAACGCCACACTCTGTGTAAATTAAGGATAAGGCACTCGCTTTCTCTTGAAATAATATATTGTAATGTTTTAGTTTTTCTTTTCGGGAACACTTTAGGTTAGTCAAGTGTTATATTTTTACAATGTAGTTTGTAAAATGTAGATTGATAGAGCCAACATTTCTCTTTCTATTAACCTTACTTATAGTATTTTCTAGAGCTCTATCAACAAAGATTATTTTTATCTGTGCGCATTACTCGGCTGCACTCCACTTTCCACTCTAAATTTAAACTTTAATAACTTTAAAGCTGTTTAACCAATTGAAACCGATAAAGCTGAAGTAAAACATTTTTATTTTTTACTTTTATCAAATAATAATAATTTAAAAATTCTGATTCGGGGTACCTACTGTTTTTCTACTGCTACTATTCCACCGTTGGCATTTATTTTTCCTGGGCGTCAAGTCGTTATGGCGATCTCGCATTGTCCTCCGGATTTTATATTATTATATATTAAACCGCGCAGTACACGGTTATACATTGTATACAATATACCAATATGGTAGGACACACGGTCGAGCTGTGTAAAAACCGTTGAAGGAATTCCTGAAGGAGATCTGAACGACAATATGACAATAATAATTATGATTATTATTATTGTTATTATCCGTTTCCTTGCACTGACGTCGGATATCGTTCCCCCTTTTTTTTTAAGAAGCCGTTTATTTCTGTACACCTATATTTACACTATATATATATATATATATATATTGTATTATAGCGGTATTTCGCGTCGTCCGTTGTATTTTATTATTATTATTGTTTTTTTTCAAGGGTCCAGGTGAAAAACACCCTCTTCTTCCCCTTAGCGCGCGCGACCGGCCGTCTGCTGCACAACCGAGATTTCCAACACTGCCACGTGCCCCAGCTAGGTGACATATGCTTGTGCGCAGCGCGTGTACCCATATATAATAATAATAATATAGGTAGGATACAAAAATGAAACGTTTTTCAGCTGCTGCTGCTGCTGCTGCTGGTCCTGCCACCGCCGCCGGTATTACTATTGTTGGTATTATTGTTATTATCATCATCATCATTGTCAATTGTAATACAATATTTTCCTTTTGTCAGAGCGCGACCGACGTTTCCCTCCGCGGTTCCTGTAAATATAATAATAATAATATATACATAATGCAATAAAAAAAAAAAATGTTAGATAGTTAAGACGATTGTGACTGCGAAGGTGTTTCTATTTGTTTTGTTTTGAACAGAATTATTTAAACTGTCATAGATAATTTATGAATTAATATAAATTTACTATTTTAGAGTGTAGCAAATGAGGCCTGGCCGCAACGTCTCTGTTTATACTGTTGTATGCATAGGTAATATAGTATTGTTTAGATATTTATTTATTTTTGTTTTTTTTTATAACTGCACGGCCGGCAGTTTTGGTCTATGGAACGGGTTAAGGTTACCTGTTATGGAGTCATCAAGCTACACACAGAACCTCCCTCTTTACTGGACACTATCATAAATATGGGTATGGGTAAAATCAATAATGCCACACATGCAATATAAATGCTATCTTGTACTTAACAATTAACAGAATAATTAACAACGACAAAAGTAAATAAATGCAAAATGGTATGAAAAGCAACTTTTAGCCTCTACTCATGACACCATTTGAAGTTTCTGTGGGTTTATATTAGCTACTCGCCCGCTAATTCACTGGCTGCTACCAAACTAGATAACTAGATGTCAGTAGACGACAGTAGCCTGCACGTTAACCTAAACTAACCGGTTGATAGTGACCGCCAACGTCTCGGCCGCTCACGGAGATCGCCTACAGACGGCGGCTGCCACGACGGCCGCTCCGCGTCCGCTACCGTCTTCCGAGGAAACGACATTGATTTTCTTCTTGTTTTCCAGCAGCTCGTTGATGGTGTTTACCAGAATGTCGTGGTAGTGCGGATGATGCCGGTGCACCGCCCCGTCTACTCCAATTGTTATTTCCGGCTCGTCCACGCGGTTCAGTATCGCCACTAGCCCGGCGGCGACCAGCCGAGCTGATCTGCTAGACACGTTTTGCGCCGCATGCCGGATGAGCTCCAGGTCACTGTCTGCGGCGTTGATGCCCACCTTTCGCAGACAGTCCTGGGCGTGTTCATAACGACCCGGGGCGTCTCTCTCGATACCGGAAATCACGTCGGCCGTTATGCCCCGGGGTCGCTCCAGGACGTCCGGTATCTTGCCGTCGAAGATGACCTGTTCCTTGGCCATGTCCAGCAACAGCAACCGGAACGTTTCGCCCAAGTACATGCCGGACACCATCTTTTCGAACAGCTGCTGTTTCGGATTTACCGAGCCGGCGTCCACCTCGAGGTCGTACTTCGTCACCAGCCCTTCCAGCTCTCCGTTGTCGCCGAACGAACCCCACTCGAGATTGATGACCATTTGTTTTTTACCCGGATCTCCGGCGTACAGACCTACCGCGCCGACCCTTTCCACGTAACAGCAATTCGTGCCCGTCCCCACGACCAGCCCCAGTTTCGTCTTGGCATCGTTCCAGGCCGAGGACATGAGCGTGCCCACCGTGTCGTTCAGTATGGCGCAGACGTTCACGTGGAGACCCGCGTGTTTGGCTATGGACCGGCGCAGCAGTTGAACCACGTCTTGGCCTACCACGCCGTCGCACCTGAAGCCCTTGGTCCACTTGGTCAACACGCCCGAATCGACGGTCCGTTGCCGCATGGGAAAACTGAACGTGAACCCGACCGGAAGTGGTTTCTTGCTGGCTGCCGAGGAGCTTCCAGTTTGTTCCACGAACCTTGCCAAGCACTGCGCGATGTAGTCGAACAGGTTTTCCCCGGTGCCGGTCATAAGGTCTTGGGAGCACGAATACGTCTCCTGCTCCATGCGGATCTCGTCGGTGCCCAGCTCGGCCTTTAGTACGCGGAAATTGGACCCGCCCAGGTCCAAGGCCAAGTACGTGCCGAGTTCCCGTCCAGTGGGCAAGTCCTGAACGTAAGTCTGGAAACATTTCACAGTGGCTTTGGGGTGCGTCTCCTTGCCCAGACCGTCTTGGATACACGCTGCCATTCGTTTTGTCAACTCTCGCAGCTCATCGCTACTCGGAATCATCGTCGAGTTGCGAATAACGTTCAAACGTGATGTCTTAGGCGAACACAATCGGCTCATCCGGTTCGTCGCGTTTGTAAATAATGATTTCATTCTAAGAAAAAGCGAATTCATTTACACTCCACGTAACATATTATTATAGAATTGAGATGGATTTTTTTTCAATACGACTGATTTGTCTTTAAAATTTCTATGAGACACAATAGTTGTATGGCCAGTAATATACATTTTAAACTAAAAATTTTATTGTACTATTGCAAACCGAATTTCTTACACTATGTACAAAATACCGTTCGATGATGGCAAACGCCCTTTTGATAGATGATAGATCAATATTTTCATGAGATAGCAGGAACTTTATTGTATCTAATCCGTAGCATTCTTCCAGGAGCACGGCATATTAGTGTTAAGAAAAAACCCGATAGAATTGAACTTCCTTTTTACTGACAAAGGTTCAGTTTTTTGTTGAACGTGAGCGATATTTGAATTGTTCATTTACACTATGTAAAAAACGTTGCCTTCCAGACAGTATTTTTTGGAGGGAAGCAAAGCGAAAGCGTTCCCCTCCCATTCTGGGAAATTCAATTCTTAAAAAGAAGAAAATTGAATGCGAACATTTTTTTTAAGAATGTGAACGCATTCATTTTGAAAAATGCAAATCAGTTAGTTACTTTTTACTTTAACGCGAATGAGTTTCTTTTTAGTGGTCGTTTAAAATAAAATATAAATCTTGTAGTTTTATAAAATTTATTATTTTATTTATGTTAATATTATATACTTGAGTCTAGTTCACGTTGTAACTTGTTTGACTCATGGTACTGATATACCTTATTGATAAAAATATGTTGTATATTTAGAGATGCTTTTAAAATGAAATTTTCAAAATTAACTATCTAATTATAGTTATTTATAATAATTATATGAAGAATTTGTATTATACTCTGTTACTCTGAACTAAAACAATGTTCGGGTGGCGTTAATAAACTGACACTAAAACTCTCTGATCATTTTGCCTTAAGTAATTCTTCCTCATCGTTTCTTTACAGATGTGTAATTAGTATTACATGTATCAGACACAGTATTTATTTGGTACGGCAGTCTATAAAATAATATCAATAAAATGGTTTATTATTATTATATGTTTAATAAAGTAGTAAGTTGGCTGTTGCAAGTATATAAGTGTGCAAAGATGTTCGTAATCTAGTCTATAGAGAGAATTTAGGTCTCCTGCTCCATGTGGAATTACTTGCCTGTCCCCAATTATGCCAAGTATGTGCCAAGTTATTGTCCCGTGATTTTATATCAATTGTTTCTTTAAAATGTCTATGACTCAATTATTGTAAGGCCAGATATATAAATTTTAAATAGACCAGTTGTTTGGCCAGTGTATAGTATAATAGCACATATTAAAGAAAACCAGGTGAAATATGAAACTTTGAGTAAATAATTTATTAGTATAAATAGTTTCTGAAATTTATAAAAGTTTTTATAGAAATTTTAAAATACATATTTGTTTTATTGTCCTGAAAGCTATGGCCTTCGTTGGTAGGTTCCTAATTTTCGGTTGTCTTGATTGGTTAATATTGTGTTGAATTATTGTATACAATATTTGTTTGATACTTTGTAAATAATTATTAAAATACTAATATTTAGAAAATATCTGTGGCATGGGTAGGAAAGCAAGCAAACCGCTGATGTAAATATTATATTTCCTCAATTAAAATAATATTTAATGCAACCTAATAGTATCAATATATTCAACTCATTTTTCATTTTAATTTCAAAACAATTAAAACAACCCTTATTATCCACGTATCCACCTGTATCCTAAACAAATATTAATGTGCTACCATCAAAGTGAACCCACACCCACTGAACGACCCTCGCAGCTTTTTTTCCATTCAAGAGCGGTCGTTGCTGTTAATATTACCATAAACCGCATCTTACCATTTTATAATTTATTACATTTTTTACACACACGGTCAATGAATGATACTATGTTAATAGTATAATAATATACCATTATACAACCTAAACCTTATTTATGAATTTATGAGTTGGGTTGTGTTTTTGGTTTTCTGTTTAATCACAATCAGGATTATTTTTGTTTTACAATAGTCACACAACCGTTTTAAATAATTTTCTATATTATGTATAGTTTCCTACTCGAAAACTCCATCGTGTGGGGTTTATAGTTTAATGAGAAACCATGTTCAAACGATGTGTGCACAACTTACACAAGGTTGTCAATATATAATATTATTATCTAACAGTATTTTTAATTGCAATATATTCGTTCATTTTTAATACAACCACTGAACGCTCTAGATGAGAGACTATAATTAAGATTATTTTGAAAGAATTCTCTATTGGTTAGATAATAGCTTCGGTCAATGATAAGAAATCAGTGACAAAGTAGTGGGGCGAAAAGGAGATTGACGATAGACGGAGGGGAGGGAAGGCAATTGAGAAAATATGGGCAGGGAAGGAAAGAGTAGTAGAAGAGGTGGTTGAGAGGGAGAAGAAAGGGCAAGCGAAGAAGATAAGAAGGGACGATCAAATGTATTTCCTTCGAGGGGAAAACTAACGAGGCTGTCAGATGTTTTAATTTCTAAAATTACATTAACAGCATTATTAACATTGTATATTACCTATTTTCTCAACTATTATATTCTCAAACAAGTTGCGCTGTTCACCGTTAGAATATCAAATGTTGGATTCCTTGAGCATACCACATATTTTGCCAAACGCTATACACACCCTATTTTGTATACGAACCTTATATACAAACCGTACAACATTATGGCCGAGTAAAGTTACAACGGCTACAAAGACAAGGCAAGTATTCTATATGATAGTAATTCCTAGAAACGTTGCTCGGTGGTATTCGTTTCCCATCTATAGGTACTACACAAAGAACGCAGAATGTAAGACAAACTTTTGCTCTCGAGTTTCCATTATCCCACATAATATGTAAGCCTGTTATAAAGTGTACGATATAGCTGATGTGTACCGCGTTATTAGATCATTTTGCCAATACTCTGTAGTTCCGCAGCCAAAGTTTGAAGTCTCAACCATATATAACTTCTTGAAAAGTAACGTCAGTTACGTATTATTAATAACAATAGGTACAGAACCATTTCGGTTAGTTTATCATAGGGATACTTAAAAGACCACTGAGTGAATCGGATAGAATTTCTTAGTGAATGTATTATATTATATTTTATTTTAATTTAATCATATAATATTTTAGAGATAACTTGTAAATGCAAATGAATATTTTTTGATATTGAAAAATTCTTATCCAGTCCAGTTATTCTTAGTCCAAAAATCTGGTTTCTTTTTTAACTGACCTGAAATTTTATCATTTTCAGTATACAAAATTCTGTAAAGGTTTTGGTCTAGAAAGTAGAAACATCACAAAACAGCAGACGGCTATAAATGCTAGATAACAGCTAATGTTATAAATTATTATCGTTTTAATAATGAGCCATAACACAAATTAGATAAAATCAGATGGTGCACTTCCAAATGTAAGCAAACCAAAACCCTCCTCAAGTCATAGTAACCACTGGTAGAAAAAAAAATGATTTATGAGATATTATTGTTTAAGAACAAGCATCAGGGAATTTTTAGATTGTTATCACCATTCATAATTAGACAACATTAATTTGATAGACTCCCTGCAAAAACTAGATAAGTTTACGTTTTAAAATTGTTTAGGACTATCAAAAGAAAATTCACATTTACTAAAATTGGCTGGGGAAAATGCACTTTGTATTATCTTAATAAGTATTAGTCCGATTCTACTGTTTGTCCCACCAAAATGTAGATAATTTTCCATGTAAAATTGTTTTTTGATAGAATGGACTTATTTGGTAGGGAGCTCTTCAACCATTAAATTTCAATAATTAATGTATCAAATAAGGGTTCATTCGGCCGTAGATAGGTAGGTGTTCACCGTGTTCTGTGTATTGATGTGAATGGATACCCCTAAGACGTTTTGTGAGCTATAAGTTGTACCTTTGAAGAGCGTTGTTTTCTACATTTGAATAACCCATCGACAGTTATAATTATATTGTTTTGGGCCAACATGTGCTATCGACAATTGGCATTCCGCGCCGGGCTCGTGTTCTATTATTATAAAATATATTATATTATATTATATTATACGGTCGCCTCCGGTGGACGGAATCGTCGATGTTGAACACATCTATTGACAGGGTAATGATCGCCTTTGACGTGCCATCTGCCCTGGAACTGATCTAAATACATAGATAGATGGATTAAGTAAAGGATAAAGCGCGTGCTCGATTTATTGAAAGACTCTCTCTCGACCGCGGTGGCCGATCGAGAGCCGGCGTTTACCGGTAGGTAATAAGTGGTAATAAAATTGTATATTATTTATAATTTAAAAAAAAAAATAAAAAATACTTAGGTGCTGGCGCAGGTGTCGACTCGGTAAAACGCCTCCGGTAACGTCTAACGTCTAACCGGCATGCAATACGCGGTAGTATAACACATAATATAGTATTATGGGTGGTACACAATATCAATATCACACAGTACCTTCTTATATACTTGCAGCCGTGTGCTGTACTTATAATTATTACTATGTGTGTGTGTGTGTGTGACGAGCCGATGATTTAATACCGTTATTAAAAAGGTGCGAGCGTCAGGCCACGTCCTTTTTTTTACACCATTAAATAGAATAATATGTTTCAGTCTGTGTGTGTGTGTGTGTAATATTAAAAGATATAGGTAGGTAACCCTAATAGGTGTTTACGGTATCTGTACAGTGATTATATATATATATACATACATAATCGGTTACTGCCCGGCAGCGGTTTGTAATAATATTATGATGATGTTAGGATTCGATTGATTGGATCCCTTTATGGAAAGTCAACCCGTCGGTGTTGCACACTGTAATTAACAGGTATAACACGTGCGAATGATACCGCCTGTTACCTTTATACATCTTATATAAATCACTTTTGCACCTTATGGAAACCGTTTAACGGGTCTTGCGGTTTCCACGCAAAAGACAGCGCTGATTA